CTTCTGCCCTCCGGGGGTTCCTCCATTTGTGCTGTAAGCCTGTACGTATTTAAGGTTTCTTCCCTCTTTCAATAAACGGCATTCGACATCCAATCGTACGAATGACTCGCTGTCTTTTGTCTCTATTTTTTAATCCGCAGCCCTTCGCTCAGACATGGTGAACAGTTAGCGGTAATGCGGGCGTTACCGCTACAACACTGAGAGGCAATAACCATTAATTATCATTTGCAACCCCAAAGGGAAGTGACCAATGGGGAAATGAATTAACTAAAGGCTAAATTCGGGTAATATCTAAGAAGAAGGATCTTAAGTGCTCAACTATTAAACTCTTAAATGTGATTAGTAGAAAATGTTAAGAATCTATAAGTTGCTAGGTCAATGGGAGAAAATAAAACTGTCTTCTTTTTTCCTGTGGCTCCTATCTGTTCAAGCTATCTGCTGTTTTTTCGGCAGGGTGGGGGAAAGTGTGCTCAGTCGCTAGGCAACCTGTGTACAGCTAGATGCCTCTGGTGATAGTTAAAGGGAGATCTGGAACTAGAGGTAAGGTTTGGGAAAGGAGGAAGTAAAGCTTAATTGGCACATCCACCAGGCCTTCTCAAACGAGTAGTCTGGATGCTTAAATCCTTTTTTAGAGAGTACAGAGGTATCTCTAATAAGGTACTTTCCTCCATCTGGGGATGGACCTGGCTGGATGCTGCCAATGATGATAATTACAGGGAGACTTGGGTTCTGGCTGAACATAGCTGTTAGCACAGAGAGTTATCTAAATATTCCTAGAAGTGGTTAGGTAAGGGGTTAAAGGTCTATAAAGTTAGTAAGGATGTAGGAAAGGAGGGTCCGAGCTAAATTGTGTAAAGCTATTACTTAACATCCACCTAACCTAGGCGGTTTCTCTTTGTGGAATTTACCTTAAATCAGGAGACTTTCGTGTGGACTGTTCTTACTGCTAGTCATTGAAAGTGGCTAAAGGAGATCTGATTCCAGAGAAAGCCTTTCCTGAGGCTGTTCTCTAAATACCTGGAATGGGTATATCCAGAGTGATCAGTCCACACTGTTAGTGCTTCTTAGGGAAAAGTCAATTGCAAAAACTATGAAGGCACACATGATTTTCACAACAGAAGACAGCTAATATATAACAAGCCAAGTAACACCAAAAGCTCCTTGGAATTTGGCTTCCTTTGGAGGAAATCCTTGATCCCTCCAGGTAGTGGCTTTGCCATAACCACCTGAGTTCTTATGATGTATTCCTGTGGCCTGCAGCACTCAGAGGCTAAAGCTGCCTTATGCTGAGGTTGGAATAGGTCAGCATCGCCATCCAAGAAAAGTGTTCACTGTGTTGATAGGCAACTTTCTTTGATATTTCCTGTACTCATATTCTCTGTCCTCTTTACCTGTGAGAATTTTAGCATTGATACATCTATCTTGTAAAAAACATACATAATTATTAACAGGTAGTGCTGGCTCCTAAGCAATCTGCTTTCCTAGTATCAACTAGATTTTTTGATCTAAGACCTGTGGTAAAGGAAGAACATGCTACAGGCATTTCATTCCATCATTTTTGTAATTTACATAATAGAATAATTGAGATAAGAATGCCCCCAAATGTCTCTTTTTTATGAGAACCTTCAGAAATGGATTTGTTCACTGAGCAAGGTTAGGAATAGGCAGAACTCGAAACTATC